ATTTCGTTTTTCGCGATTATCTCGGAAACTATGAGAGATAGAGCCTTAAAGCCTATTCCCTGGGTTCCCTATAGGCAGTTGGACGGCTCAGAATTGCCTTTTTCCTCTTCCTACACCCTGTACAAGATAAATTAAATTAATTTTTTTTGGCCATTTGGTTTTTCGCGATTATCTCGGAAACTATGAGATAATCGCGAAAAGATAGCAGCGATTGATGATTCGTTTAGTAAAATAAATGCATCTGTGGATGCAAAAATTATCCTCCTGTACAGTAAAATTTCTCACACTGGTAGGGTATTTTTTTTCACTTATCTGAAGGTCATGGGGACGAATGAAACTTAAATCTTACCAAACGCGTTCGGTAAAAAATCATTCTCCGTTGCAGAAAAATTATACGCAATATTGAGCAATCCTTCACGTGCAATGGGATCATTTTTTATGGAATGCAGGGTAAATTTTATTGTTTCGGTACAAATTACCCTCACGTTCAGTTAATTTTCCTGGTCCAGCCGAGAAAAATTCACTATTCGTCTCGCAGTTTTACCCCTACATAGGGTGAAAAAGTAATAAAAATTGAATTTGCTCCACGATTACTCAACTTTTTCGGTAATTTTTCTCCACTTTTTTCCTCCGTGTAAATTTTGATGGGGAATAACTTATTTTAAGTTAATCGAAATCGATGAGGGACACTTGGAACATTTCCCTTGTTAGTGAATAACTTTGAATTTTCTTCCTCTGATGAATTTTTAATTCCATTTTGTAGTAGAAGTGCAATAGAAAAATCACAATTTGTAACTTTCGACTTTATTTCTTCGTAAATACACTTTTTCATTAATACAAACAAACATGTCTCATTTGTTTTAAAAAAAATCGTGCTCATGGATGAAAGACTGGTGCAATGGAATAAGATGAATTTGTAACAATTCATGCGATCAAAAAAGACGAACAAACAATGTCATTTGACATTGTTCGAATAATCATAATCCCTATTGGAACGAAAAATATTCCTCATGCTAAATTCATGCCATTCAGCTTACTCCATATTCCCACATAGCAAATTAAATACGATTTGATTGGACTCAATGAACGACGCACCAGCGTTATTACGTAATAAAAAATCTTGATAATTCCATGATTCTTCGGGACTAATTCCAAACGTATCACATTCTCTTTAAAATTCACAATTGAATAGGTGGTATCCTTTAATCTACTATCACGCTGTATGAAAATTATGCAATATACAAATTTTTATCGAAGACATGTTTGTATCCTAGATAAATTTCTAATAAATTCATTTCCTACCCTAATTTTATTCCACTCCACACCAAGTAAAATTCTCACAAAACAGCCTACGAATGTCTCGTTTATACCGATGAAAATAAATGAGGAGAGAACAATTCGTTGATTATCTCGGAATGTTTCGTGCTAAATCGATTGAACATTCTTATAAGTCTGTGATAATCACTAAAAAATCAGGTGATTATTGTGTATCGTAAATCAGGTGATTATTGTGTATCGTAAATCAGGTGATTATTGTGTATCGTAAATCAGGTGATTATTGTGTAGATTTACAATCTACATATCAAGATCAAAAATCAAATCATTTTTGAACTCAGCTCTTGGTGATGTGTTAACATTATCGTTTGATTTTTTACCCTCATTATTTGGAATCAGTGCAACTGATAGCTTATCGCGATTAAGTATCGGTTTGACATTTTCATTATTTTTGTTACGGTCATTATCCTCTTTAGTCTCTATTTTGTATTTATCACGATCCTCAGTCTCCGAGTTTTCACTTTCACTCATTCTACGCTCGAATGCCTGTTTCTTCTTGCGAAGTTTACGTTGGTTTTTTTTTCTTCGGCCTAAAATACTTGAATTGGACCTGCAAACAGAGATTTTTTTTCAGTTTTATGATACTTCTTGATTGTTCGGTTAAAGTGGTAGTTGGAGATCGAGTGAAATGAATCCAAAGGTTATTCCAGTAGCGAAGCGGTAAAACGGTTCAATGATATCCAAGTATGTTTTACAGTTTGGTACAGCCCACGTTATAGATTCAACCTTTTTCAATCATCAAATTTGTTAATTAAATTGCGAGAAAAAAATTTGAGAAAAAATCATGAATATTGAGCGTCATTTAAATTACATTTTGTCCAGAATTTTTTTTTTAACATTCGTTGTTCATAAATAAATAATTGTAATTGTTTAAACTTTCGAAAACTTTATTTTTTTAAGCATGAAATCGATTTCTGGTAAAATTCTGAATATGAATACATTTGTTAAGATTTCAAAGAAGCGATTTTTATGATGAAAAATTGATGTTCATCAATTATTTACAAAAAATGGTTTTAAATTTAAAAAATTGCAATTTTCAAATTATTTCATCAATCTCCCTTCAAAAATGAACTTTCTAATTTGTTTTCCGACTTAAAAAATATTTTCTAACGGTTAAATATCGAAATTCAAATTCAGACCTGCAACATTTAAATAATAAAATCATTCTAAAATATCCGGAAATATAGGATCAAGTGGGGCTCAAATGAAAGCTCTGAGGATCGACTTCGAAAGTACTTCGATATCCCTAAATCGATTTACCGCTTCGCTGATTCTTCACGAAAAAACAAAATTACTCCACCAATTATTACTTTCACAATTTCTCTGTATAAACCATCAGTTTCCGCACATTTACAAAATTAAGTATAAAATTATTATACTAAAGAAAAATGATTCCTTCATCCCACAATTACCCTAAAAAAACCACTTACCTATATAATTGACGAGACACAACATCATTGAACCGTACAGTCTTCTTCAGACTGCAGCAATCCGACTCCGAATTCACCTCCTGCACCGAGTCATAATTAAAATCAATTGACGAAGCAAGCCCAGCTGTATCATCAATGCTCGACTCCGACACAGATCTTGAAAAATTGCTCCTCCTGTACTTCAAGATGCCCCTGCACCTGCTGCCACTGCTCCCACAAACCTCATCGCCACTGCTCTCCGAAACAGATCGATATTTCTGCAGATTAAATTTTTCCTCCTCACCCTCAAAATTCTCCTCATCATCAGAATCCCCATGCTGAGCTTTAACATTCACAACAACCTCATCCCTCTCCGGAATAACTTCAATCTTCCTGTGTCCATTGATATTCATATCGTCGCCCTCGAGAGATTCAAATTTTTTATCTAAATTAACAACATGAGGCAGATCCTTCCGCTCCATAAACTCCTCATCAATTCCCACACGATAACTCTCCACGCCATCAACATTCCTCAATCCAACAGTGAAAACCACGTTATTGTCCCAGGGCTCCACCCCCACAGTCTCATCCCCGAAAGCATGATCTCGAATTTTGAGACAGAGTGCGTAATACATCGGGAAAAATCCGGCCCCAACCGACGAGAAGGCGAGATGAATTCCCGACTGATTTGCCAAAAACTTGTGCTTTATCGAATTAGCATCGACGTTCTTAACGTGAACAGTAACGGCTAACGTATTATCGTAAATATTACAGGTGAATTGAGGCAGTGAATATCTGATATTTGAACTGAGGATCGAATCCCCAGTGACAACTGAGTCTTCAGTCTCTCCATTAGTCTCGCAGGGTTCGCTAATCTCTCTGATTTCGGTTATCAACTCTGTGGTGTTTTCACTCGACTCGTCCGAACTCTCGGCTTTATCGACGCTGGACTCCAGGGGAGGGCTGCCATGGTCACTCTCGACTCCACTGTCGTCGATGGGGTCGATGATCTTGAGCTCTCGAATCACTGGAAGTGTAACTGTTAATTTTCGCTTTTTGGGGTCGAACTTCGCGTTTCCGTGATCTGGGTCAACGCGGTACGACAGGGGAAGCTCTAGCCGGTATTTCGCTGGCTTCTCACTTGTTACTGTTAGCAAACGCTCTTGAACGTCTAGGGTTGCGTCGCTGGAGGACCGCAGGAGGGGGAGATCGATTATTATTACGAGGTTTTTGGGAATTGTCGAGTTGAGTTTTGAATTTTTAGACGTCTGGAAGTCCTGAATGTCGAGATCTGTTTGGTGCTTTATCAGGAATTTTGGGGTGGTGAAGGGGGTGGGCTGGCAGTCTTCTTGGGGGGGGTTAGAGGGGTGCAGGTAGGTTGTGGGAGGGGAGGGACGCGAGGGCTTGTCCTCGAATTTTTTTGCGTATTTCTCCCGACTCTCGTCGTAACTTGACATGAGCTTTTGGTAGATCTCCGGCTCGATGTCCAGGGGAGCTTGCGGGGGGTCACTGGAGGGGGGCTTGTCCAACTTTTTTCGAATTACTGTGGACTGCGTGATGCCTTTGAAGTTCATCTTCGGGTATTTGAGATTGTTTCTGTCTAGCTTCACCTGAAAACAGATGGGGATAGGAGATTGATAAATCGGTAAAAATTATAATATTTACATTTTTGGGGGCACGTCTAAAAAACTTCGGCACAAAAACCTGGTTAAATCGACTTTGGGAATGGGAACTTTTGGTTAATTGGCGAATGCATTTTAGCACTTATTGTGTGATTTATTTATTCATCTATTTGGTTATTTATTTGAAGCAGGAAATAAGTCGATTGATAATAATAATGAAGATGTTTCGTATTAAATTGTTTCTGTTGTACTTTTAGGATTGTCATAACTGCAGAAAATATCTGCAGGAAACTTTCGACTTTTTTCTGAGTATGAGATACTGAGTGAAGTATAAACATCAAGAGAAATTGACTCGTTGTTTCTTAGTATAAGTTACTGAGTTTTAGCGAAATATTACTACTGAAAAATTTATGAGTTCTCAATCTATAAATAAACAGTCGAATTGTATAGCTTCATGAAGAAAAGAACCATAATTACAGGGATGTGACAATTTCAGGTTTTTTTATTAGGGGAAAAATTAACAAATTGTTCCTCAATTCCAACTTTATCAAAAAAAAAGTAGTTTTCGAAAAATCTATTAAAAAATTCCCCAAATATTCTCAGTATTTAGCATTAGAAAATAAAGATCTGGATTTTTTGGAGACGAATGATAAAGAAACGACAAAAGTAATATCACGAAAAAAAATAGAGAGTAATTAAAAACTATAAAAAATATTTTGTTTGTACTTGTTCGTATATTATAGTGTAAAAATATATTTTTGGGGAAATCTTGGAAATTATTTCTTAAAAGGAGAAATTAACTCGTTTAGCTTTAGTATGAGTTACTGGGTTTTCGTGAAATATCTCGGGCTAAAAACAACTTACAATATTCTTCACGATTGAATTTAAAAAAAGTCATCAAAAATTGCGACTACAAAATTTATGAATTTTTAATCAACGAATAAATACTTCAAAAAATTCCCAATGACTGTTTTTGTTTTTGTAAAATAAATCCCATCACTTTTCTCTTAATGCTAACTTCGGGAATAGAAAAAACTCGAATTACAGAAAAAATCTATGGGGAAACACTCCAAATATTTTCGCAATTTATCATATGAAAAATAAAAATTTTATATATAACGATTATAAAACAAAAAATATATAGAGCGATAAAAAAATTAATACCATTGAATAAACGGGTTACACAGAAAAAGATAAATAGATGACAAAATTAATATCACCAAAAAATAGAGGGTAATTACAAACTATGAAAAATATTTTGTTTGAAAAAATCCCCAATGACTACGTTTATTGTTGTAAAATAAATCCCATCAATTTTCTCTTAATCCTAACTTTATGGAAAGAAAAAATTCCAATTGGAGAAAAATCTACGTAGAAACACTCCAAATATTTTCACGATTCACCATATAAAAAAAACAGAAATGGAATTTATATAAAACGATAAATATATGAAGCGATAAAAAACTAATACCATAAAATAAAAAATCGGTCGTACAGAAAAAAATGTGAATAGAGTAAAAATATTATGAGCATTCCCCTATGCACAATAATCGAGCCCCACGTTCCACAGAAATTTCTAGCAACCGCATAAGGCGTCGGTAAAGCCGGGCCCAACCGGTGCCAAAACCCAAAGCCCCAATTTCCCAACAATTAATAAATCTCACCTTGAAATTCTTCTCGACCCCATCCATAGCTGTATCATTGACAACCTCCCTGAACCTTGAGTTTTTCGTTGCCAAATACAAGGTATCAGGATGAAAGACCACATCAAACACAGTGCAATAATTTTTCTTCTTATCAACATCGTCACGAGGCGGTGCAAGTGTAAACGGAATGGACCACTGAAGTCCACGATTTCCATCCTCATACGACGGTTGACTAGTTGGTTTACCAACAATATCACTCTTCGATACATTGATAAAGCATTTTTTATCACCATTGACACTAGTTTTTATGACGTAACCCGGCTCTGGATTAATAAATTTAACATCAATGCCACGTTCCCTCTCCAATTCACCAATTTCTTTCTCATATATTTTACGATTCTCCGGATTCGTCACCTCCTCAGCATACTCAATCAATAATTTACGAAAATCATCCTGTTTCAAGCACTTTGTTAAATCCTCAATTTCCTCTCTCGTCACGTCCAAATCCTCCCAATTTTTTAGCCGATCACACGCGTCCATTTTACTCGGAGTAACTGTTTACAAATAAAATTGGAATGGCTGGTATTCAGTCGTTGTTGGGGAGATGTTTTTTTTTTACGTGACGATTCGAGATTGGAGGGATCAACTCCGACAGATGGCGACTGATTCTTTTTGTTGACGAACGTGAATTGTTAACCTCAAAGTTGCTCCGAAATGACGTAGAGTTTTACTCAGTCTTGCTCCGATAAATAATCCATTTTTAGGGTAGAAGTTAGTTCTGGTGGTGAGTTTATTTGGTGTTCGTATTCGGTGATTTTTCAACAGTTTTTTTCGAGTGATAAGATGAATCCACAACATACAGGTAAGTCAAGAGAATAATAGGAGTATTTGCATAACATTCTGTTTGTTGAGGAAAAAACTGTAATAATATTTTCCAGAGAATTTTAACGTTTCTGGTATTATTGAATTGATTCTTTTGGATGAGCAGATTGATATAAATTTGAATTGATATGAATTTGAAGAATAAGAGGAGTATTTGCAGGACTTTCTGTCTGTTGATGAAAAATATTGTTATAATTTTTTCCAGAGAACTTTAATGCTTTGGTTATTAGTGAATCAATTCTTTTGGATGACCCAATTGATATAAATTTACAGTGAAATTCTACATGAAACGTGAATCACGAATGGAATTTCGAACCTTTCAATTTGACAGACAATAATTTTATGTCCATCATTTCTCCAATAGGTTAAATATTATGGAGGGTAAGGTCAGGAGATCCACCGAGAAAGATCTGATGGATCTGTTTGAAGCCTTCTGAACGTATTCGCGAAATAATCTAGAGATGGCTTGTAAATTCATTTTGCATTACTAGAAAATAATTGGAAATCATTGCAATTTCAGATTACATGAACAATTATTTCTAGATCTCTGGACGTTCCTGTCAGATGAGCTGACAAAAATTTAAAGAAAAACGATATCGCATTTACTGAACTACAAATTTAAAATTGAATTGAAAATTTACGAATATATTGACCTGAATTTCCCTGATTGATCCGAAACTTAGATATGAACGATTTCATTCGGAAGCAAAAAATGGAGGAAAAACGATAGAGCGAAAAAAAATTATACTAAATTATATATATTATACATCATAGAACGACCTGACGTGAGAGGAAAAGTAGTTTGTCGCAAGAACTTTGGACCAAAACTCTGAATTCTGTGATGAATTAGTAAACTAGGATAAGTGCATTTTTATTCGAAAATTGGAACAATTTTACAGGAATGGTGAATCCCCAGCAGTTTGGAGTAAGTGGAAATCAAATGAACATGTGGAATGCCCAGCAAGTGATGGCCCAACAACAGCAGCAACTCGCTGCCCAACAGTCAGTAACGATGCAGCAACAATTGCAGCAGATGCAGGCACAGCAGGCGCAACAGTTACAACTGCAGCAGCAACAACAGCAGCAACAGCAAATGCAGTTGCAGCAGCAGCAACAGGCTGCGAATCAGATAGGCCAGGCGAATCCTGGCGTCAGTCAGCTGCAGACTCCACAGACCCCAGTGGCGCCAAACGCCCAGCAGCAGAGTGGACAGCAGCAGCCAGGACAGGCACCACAAGCACAGCCTGGACCTCAGCAGCCACAACAACAGGCGAGCAAGGAGATCAATACCGTCAGTTTATGCAAATATGGACAGGACACTGTTATCGATATCGCCAGTAGAGCTATGGAAGTCTTCCAGACCCTGAAAGTGCTTCAGGCACCTATTGGTAGGTTTTTTTCTATGGGAAGTAGATTTATGAACTAATAATAATCTAAATATTCAAGTATTTTTTTCGATTTCTCTTCACATAAGTAATTTCTATTTGTAGTTATAAAGAAAATGGATTAAAATGTTCAGAAAATTCTTCTGACCTTTTACTGTTTCTATTGAAAATCTACTAAATTTTTGCCGCGTTATGCTTTATAGAAATATTCGTGGGAAATATTTGATGCAACGAAATTTAAATTTCGATTTTTCATAAATCTCTTCTAGTGTTATTTTTTCTGGAGAAATCCTGAGGCATTTTTTCTGTTCTTTCCTTAAAGGAAAAAAGATAAAATTGATGGCCATGAGCTTCTGGAGAAAAAATGCCAACAGAATTAATTGAATAGAAAAAATGAAATCCACTGATCTTTTTTTGTCACATATTCTCTGTCAATATTTCTGTAAAAATAGATATTGGTAGGAAAAAACTCCATGGAAAAATCCATAGAAACTATAAATTTCAGTTTAATTATTCCGGGAAAATGAAAATGATTTTGAATCCCAGAGTCCTCTGAATTTTTGAGAGAAACTTGGAATTTCATTGACTTTTTCCCCTTAAATGAAATTCAAGGTCTTTTTTAACAGTGCAGATTTGCCATTGAATTTTTCATTTAATGCATTATTTTTTCTTTGAATGCTTCGTTTAATGTAAGGACTTGGAAACAATATGTTTGTAAGACTATCTAGAAGAGAAGACATTTGGGGATAAAATGTTTAATCACCTTCACTGTAGCCAACAGAACTTGAAGTACAGAATACAAAAAGCAAATATCTCTCGGTCATTAGTCTTGAAATTTGATATTCAGCAACGTTTGCAAAATAAATTTCTGCCGTTTCAATACTTTTGCTACTGATTTAAAGTAGCTCTACCCTTACGGTAAATTCAAAGATTATTGAAAACTGCAAAAAATTGCAGAAAACTCGACTAGATTTGGAATTCGAATTTTTTTCTCAATTTAATTAACGTTTTGGTTTTTCAAAGAAGAAATCTTTAAAAATCAGGATTTAACCCAGTGTCTTATGTGAAAATCAACATTTCCATTGTAATTACAGATTGAAATCTGAATTTTTTTTCATTAGATGTGAAAAAATCGAGAATTATTTTGACACCTCATAAATAATAATCCACCGTTTTGCAAACAAATTTTATTGTTTATTTATAAGAGGGAAATGTTTGAAAAAATATCAATATTTTGCGAAATTCAATTTAGATAATGCTGACTGGGTATGAATTTTGTCAAATTTTTTCCACGCAATTTAGTTGAAAAATTAAAAAAATTAAAATATCCAAAAGTACAGCGTAGCCCGGCTGAAGGGTAGAGCTCCTTTAATTATTTGAATGTCAGAATGACGAAAAAACTTCGAAAATTTTACATCAAAGGAGAAAATAGATTTCTTGATAAAAATAGAGACCAGTAGAGTAATAAATTATGTGCAATCATTTATTTATTTAGCAACATCCCAAGGGTCCACAGCTGCCACAGAGAAGAAGCTTAAGATCCAAGACCAACTGAGAATGATCAGACTGTTATTCCGAAGGTTGAAATTGATTTATGAGAAGTGCAACGAGAATTGTCAGCTCCAGGGAATGGAGTACACTCATATTGAGAGTTTGATACCCTTGAAGGAAGAGTGGGATATGAAATCTGAGGAGAAGAAGACCTCTGAGGCTTACAGACTGAATTACATGGACAGTAAAGAGGTTATGGAGGTAAAATAACTAACTTTCCATTTTTTAAGAAAATAATTATTCACTGAGACATTGAGATTTCATTGATAATCTTTACATCGAGTTCCATTGCATTTTACATCACGCAGGAATCCCTAATAAAAAAAAGTAGGAAATAAACTGAATATTTTCAAAGAGCGTTTTTAGTAAAGACTACGAAACAAGCATTTAATAAATGGAAAAAATATGGCCCAGTCCTGCAGAAATTAGGGGTTTTGACTGCATTCAACTATTTCTTAATTTAATTATTCTTTATTTTGTTATGTTTACTTCAAATAATTTTTTTCCGCTAATTAAAACACTCTTGAAGGCATGGAAACCATCATATCCCCATTTAAGTCATTTTATTTTAGATCCTACCACGAAACTCGAATTTTCCTTAACCCTCCAGCAAGATTTTTACTTGAGAAAATATGATCCCCGAACGTTTGACTGAATAAGAACATTCTGGTTGAACTCATGCTTAATTGGCAGTCTAGTAGCAAAATAATACAATCTTATGAGAAAACAAATTTTCCGAGGTCAGAGAAAAGATTAAAATGTAGAAAAAATCTATAAAAATAAAAAATAAAAATTCTCTGTCTCAAAAATTCCGTGATTCAACTTTGGGGATAAATAATTAATGTTTCTGGATACCCCGAACGTACAGAATGCCTTAGTCAAACGAGAAACTATTGTTTAAGAGAATAATCGAGAGAATTTGATGGATTAATTTCTTACTCTCCTCAAAGTTAGAATTCATGTAAGAAATTATCAATGAGTATTTTTTGTCGAGCATTTCAACTTTATTTCTCCTCGCTACACTCCACGACTCACGTATATTTTAAATATACTACGTTAATTGAAAAAAGTTTGAATTTAATTTGTTAATTTGTCCAATGATTTCACTAATTCCTTCAATTTTTTAAATTTACAGCAAGTGATCGCTAAGAATCGTCACTTGAAGGATATAATCGACAACTTGAGACGAATTATATCTGAAATAAACACAATGCTGAATATGCGAAGATCCTAGTGAATAATTGTCTGTAAATACAGTCTAAATCCTTAGAAAAATAATTTATCATTTTGTACTGATTAATTAAATGGAATTTGTCGAAATTGTCAGTCTGTATTTTTAATGCTTTCCACTTCGAAAGAAATGACGTCAGATGAACGAATAATTGCCTCTGGTATTTTTCCCAGTGGTGTTTGCAGATTTCGCACGTAAATGTCTAGGCAGTCTACGTCACAGCCACGAAATTCTCCGGAGACTTTTGAATTCTCGTAGAGATTAAAATCCACGTTTTCACCTGGAGGAAAAAAGTGAATTATTATTGTTTAACTATGAAAAATTCATGAAGTGACGGATTTGATTTTTAATTCTCAAAAAAAACACAAAGTCTGCATGGTGTTTTGATGAATTGATTAGGGTAAAAAAATTGATGTTTTTCTTGCCTACGATTCCGGTGACAAATCGGAGAAATCTCTCCCTCAAGAATGCCCTCGCGTTCTGCATCTCTGGAGTTGCGAATTTTAGGGGTTGAGACTGTGAATTCTCCTGAGATTCACTGGCTCCTGCGTCAATCTCCTCACTCATTTTTGGAGCGAATAAAATGCTGTGACGAGCGATTTTTGTTTTGATTGTGGTCTGACGTCAGGCACTGGAGGCACACATGTGCTTCACCGAAAATAGAGTGAGAAAAAATGCACAGACGCCTGCGCATGACACGGCTGCGCGCGCACAGAGGCGCTATCATGTCCGGGTTTTTAAATGCGAGAATTTATCGGGTAAGTAATAAAATGTGAAATGAATGGTTTTATTTTTTCCTGTTGAAAAGCCAACTATTCTCGGTTAAGGATGTTTAGACATTTTCAGCAAATCTTATTTCTTCATGTTCAAGGAAAATTCTATAACTTTTTTGGCTGATCGCAGAACATATGAGACGAACTTCTTTGATGTTAAAAAGAAATTAATCGCAATAGTCCCGCCAGAAATGAAATAAATTTTTCTTTATACACGGGCTCTTATGGCATTTATGTTGAAATTTATAATTCACCTACTAGAAGACTCTAAAAATAGAAATAGAAATAGAAGGTGATGTGCAAAACTATACTGAATCGAATCGACAAAGAAAAATTTGGGGTACCCGGGTAAAAAGAGAAAATATTTGAAAGATTCTATCCCATATAAGCGCATGTTAGCGCATGCGTTTGGTGCATTTTGTCCCCTTCATGTCTAGATAATGAACGTGGGTTGGTGGATTGATATTTTTATAAAGATAAAGGGAATAACTTCATCTCTCAGTTGAGAAAAAATTAATTTTTTTCAATACTTGCGATTTTGGATAAACATCCTTAACCCTAGACTGGTCACCATGCGAGGGAATTGCCGCAACACGTCGTTTTATTCACCTTGCCATCGACTGGTTGAACGGAAAAATTTGAGAAAAATTGAATTCGTCAATTGAAGTATCTGGAAAATTCTAGTATTTTTTTTCAATATTGTATCCTCAATTCTGGGAGAAAAAAAATTATTTCCAACAGGTGAACAATTTTTTCCCGTGTCAAATGAAATTGCCTGTTGCGCGACGTTGCTGGGAACTCGCTAAACGCGCCCGGGGAGTGTAGAGTGGATTCGGCAACGCTGGCGCTTAAATAACTGTATAGAAATCTTAGAACCAACAGTCTCAACTCCGTTAAAAATTCTAGAATAGTATATTTCGTCATTAGGCCGAAAATTACTTTTCTGTACTGCTTCTCACGATTTCTCGTCTGGAAATTGGTATTACATACTTCCCAAACTCGAAAACTTGAAAATCACTACAGAAAAATATTGTTCCTGGGCTGTTGCGATGGGGTTTTTTTACTCCTGTGGTTGGCCAGTCCTCGCCTACGGCTCGGAAGCCAACGCCACACGAGTAAAAAACCCCATCGCAACAGGCCGGAAATAGTATATTTCGTAAGGAGTGCAAAAAACATTTTTTCACGAGTTACGAACAATATTTTTCATCACAATGTGGCGGAAATTGGACTTTTAGGCACGCGGAGCGTGTCTTTTCGTCACAGCGTGATGAAAAATACTATTTCTAGCGAATAGGGGTTTGTAGTCCAAGCCGAAGGCGAGGGCTACAATCATATGAGCTAGAAAAGATTTTTTAGGCCGTATGACGACCAATTTTTTTGTTATAACGGCTGTAAGCAGCAATTCACTGACCCGCAAAGTCCGTGAAACGCTGCCTTACGGCTGCAATGAAAAAATCCATTTGCGCTTCTTCCCATAGAAATCATTTACTTCTCAAAGTCGTAAACAGCGGAAAAAATGTGGCAACTCAGACGGGAAAATAGAAAATGCAACTGGTATGTTCGTCCACGGAATGGACTATTTCAATCGAATTCCACACTTTCGCCCGGATATACTGGCAACCCAATGACCCACTCATATATCCGCGAAACTATTCTTCTATCAAAAAAACGCACTTTCATCTAAAAAGAAGCATGTGGGTATGAATAATAACAAACGCCCGCATAAAATGCTGAGAAGATTATTCGTACCTTCAAAAATGTCCTCAGTTCCATATTCACTAGCGACGAGTCACGATGTCGAAATTAGTGGTGACAATTTTAGTTTTTGCGCTCATTCATAGTCATCGAAATGGTAATTATAAGTCTTTGTATTCTCATTCTTCATCTTTATTCTTCATTGATTAATTCGATCTTCCATTTCGGATCGTCTGCCGGAGAAAAAAAATCATAAAGTTTTTTTGAGAAATTGTCCTTTGAAAATGAATCAATTATTTAATTTAAAACATGATTTCTGAATAGAATAATAATGGACAAAGTGATGAAATCGAATGGGTCGATTAATTTTTCATCCAATTGTCCAATTGAAATGGAAAGAAATTATTTCAGCAGAAACTTCCGAAGACTTTTTTTCTAGCTAGTAAAATTTTGGGCATTCCCAATGAAAATGACTCCTGTTATTTCCCCAAAAAATAAATTATAATGCTTAAAACTTAGCATGATTCTCTGAACTACTTGGAAAACTATGAGAAAGCCCCAGAGTTTTCCGTAGAAAATTCTATTCAAAATCAAACGTGTAATAAGTTCTTGCAGTTTTTTTCCAATTTCTATTGAAGACGGGATAGATCATTCAAACGGTTTTTATCGAAAATATTGAGTAGAAAAAATGCAATATATTTCGATTTTTCTGTACAAAATCCTATTCTGTTGGTATATTTCGTATAAAGATCCTTAGGAACAGATTTTCTAATGCGAAAAAAGTACAGAATTTATTAATTTATTGTTGTTGCAACCAAGCCTTTCTTATACTAAAAAATACTATTTTTATACTTTTATATTTATTTCAAAAAATATTTTTTAACATTAATTTTTAGACTTTTTTACACTCAAAGAATATCAGCAGAATAGATGCGGCCAGAAAATTCCAAATTCATCGATCTTATATGTATTTTTCTCTCATAAGTTTTCTGAGAATAATTTCATATGAATCGCAAGGAAGAGCTACAGAATTCTTCATGCAAATCAACGAAAAACCCCCAATTGTATTTCCAGTAGAATTTCAAAAGAATTCTGTCTTGAACTTTTTCACACGTTTGCTCTGAAACATGAGTTTGTATTATTTCTCCCCTCACATTTCTCCCATCGAAATCTCATTAAAAAAAACCAAAATAAATCCAAATGCGCTCTCATTCCCTTTAATTTCTCAATTTCGACTTTTCCGAATACAATGCATTTACAGACGTTGAAGCTAAAGATTCCAACGGATCTCGACTGCTGAACGAACCCGCGATTTCACTCTCTCCAACAACCCCAAAACCACTGATTCTACAGAAAAATGAAACTCATCTCAACTCGACAAGAAAATCCCGATTTTTGCCGACCCTGTCCTTCCTGACTGGCCTGGGTCTGGGGAGTATCGCTGGGACAGTAGCACTCGACCCCAGCTTCATCCCCGCGGGGAACTACAGCTTTATCTCAAAATTAATAACAACTACAAAAGCTCCTCCAACAGATTTGGATCTCAATTTCGGTTCGTCCGAACTTTTTCCTCTCGCGAACATTCCACCGTCCAACATTTACAACCCGAATTATCCTTATATCCTCGCGCTGTCCACCAATGCCCTTTTGAATAAGACACTGAGGTCTGTGCAAGAAACGCTTCAGAAGCTCAATGCGCAGTTGAAGGGAAAGGAAACCGTAAATGAAGAGCAGGTCGCTCAGTCCTCGGACGAGGTGGATCAGGTTGAGGAGGAGGAGTCGAATGATGTAAGCGTTTACAGAGACAAGGATGATTATGTAGTGGTTAATCGCACTACCCTGAAGGACATCGTCAAGGCCTCCATTGCTGAGCAAATTGTAAGAGATTAAAGTTTTGCTCCCTTGTGGTTTTTGTTGGGGATTTTTTATAGTATTCTTTCTTTGGTTCCGAAGAGAAGCAGTGTACACTGTTAACAGCTTTTGTCTGCAATTTCACGCACGAAAAAATTTAATAGAAGAACCTATCGAATTCGTTGAAAAGTTTTAGTGAAATTCTATTAAACTTTCTATTAGTTTTTGGCTGATTCTATTGACATGTTCAATCGAAAACATTCAATAGAAAAAGTCAACAGAATTCGATTTTTCTGGATAACTTATTCTTTTCATATATTTTCTATAGAATTTGCTCGACTCAAATTTTCTAAGTTTTTTTCATTCTATTGTTATTTTCGTCTCATCAAGAAAATCAAACGAAAAAACTTGGAAAATTTGAACCGAGGAAATTCTATAGAAAATATCTCAGTGGAATAAGTTATACAGAAAAATTGAATTTTATTGAGTTTTTCTACAGAATATTTTCTATTGGACATTTTAATAGAATCGTCCGAAAACTAATAGAACAGTTCAATAGAAATTCAATAGAATTTTCTAACGAATTTGATAGGTTTTTCGTTTAAATGTTTCCGTGCGGGTCTGCGTTTAGGGAACACGAAGTGACAATTTCTAAAATTCTTGGCATCACCGACCCCAAATCCCTGAAAGCCACATTTTATTTCACAAGAAATTATTTGACTCTGCGAGAGCAACTAATTCAAGTGTTTTAAACAGGGATCGCCATCAATATTAAATTTCTGTAATATTACAAGAATTTGACCCTCACATTAATGAAGGTTTAAAATATGTTGATCCAATTTTTCAAATAATATAATATCAATGATCTGATTTTCTGGTCGTCGGTTATAAAAAAACTTTTCTATTATCTGATAAAATTCGAAAATTAATGAAATATTGCTCGACAAATTATCAGGAAAGTGGCAATCAAATTCTTCTGAAGCAAGCGAGACCACCTCGACTTCCATTCACTACTGTGAATCCCACCACTGAAAGTATTACCGAAGATGAAACCACCCTTACCACCGAGGATACCAACAACATGATCACCACACAAATCCCATCATCAACTTGGCAACCATATAATGGATGGTACTATGGAGGGCAATCACAGAACATCTCCGGAGTTGACATAACGTCGGGAACCTACGGTCCCCCCATCCAACCAGTCTATCCTGTTTATCCTCCCCATTCTGAAGTTTATCCAGCTTCACCTCCGGTTTTCGAACCTGCCCCATTCTACCAGGACCATCATCCTGAGTATTACGAGACTTACCCTGGCTCTGTCGGTGGATTGAATGGCATCAGTGATTCCTATCCTTATTATGATCATTTTGCTAGGGGTAGAAAATTTTCCTCAAGGGGGAGTAAAGATTTGGGGGGTTTCGTGCCTCTGAAAAAAATCTAGAAATTTTTTTTATCGATTTTTCAGGGGCTCGTCTTTTCGTCCCCGACAATTTTTTCGTCTCCAAATTTTTCTTGTGCTATTTCTTCCTCGCACATTTTTTTCCTGACAGTTCTTTCTCGAAAACTCATGCCAGCACTAATTTTTTTTCTTCCTTTCACCCTAGATTGGGCACCCTATGAGCGAAACGCCGCGCGTCGCTTTTCTTTAAAGTAGCTCTACCCTTCGGCCGGGCTACGCTGTACTTTTGAATATTTTCAGTTTTAAAATTTTTCAACTAAATTGCATGGAAAAAATTTGACAAAATTAATACCCAGTCAGTATTATCTAAATTAAATTTCGCCAAATATTGATATTTTTTCAAACATTTCCCTCTTATAAATAAATAATAAAATTTGTTTGCAAAACGGTGGATTATTTTTTATGAGGTGTCAAAAAAATTCTTGATTTTTTCACATCTAATGAAAAAAAATTCAAATTGTAATCTTTGATTACAATGGAAATGTTGATTTTCACATAAGACACTGGGTTAAATCCTCATTTTTGAACATTTCTTCTTTGAAAAAACCAAAACGATAATTAAATTGAGAAACAAATTAGAATTCCGAATCTAATCGAGTTTTCTGGAATTTTTTTGCAGTTTTCAATAATCTTTGAATTTACCGTAAGGGTAGAGCTACTTTAAACAATTTCCATGATTTATTTAGAAACAACGGTTGTTTTAATAATTAATTGTTTTAATATTAATAAACTTTGAATTTACCGTAAGGGTAGAGCTACTTTAATTACAATTGACTAGCTAACCGGAAAAATTAAAAAAAATTGACTTTGTCAATTGAAGCGTCTAAAAAGTTATAGTAGTTTTTAGAACAACGTATTTCACAAAATTCATAAAGAATACGTCGAGTGCCAGCGAGTGTGAGGTTGGCACGCCGAACCGAAGGCGAGGCCTACGGTAGATGATACAGTAAAATCAAAGATGAATAAAAATAAAAACGATTAATCAGACCGCAGTGAAATTTTTTTAGACGTAAAGTACGAATATTTATTTAGATTTAGCAATCAACATTTCAGATTCAAATACTAAATAATCAATCACATGACTCCGACGGAGGATCAAAGTAGGAATACTATTCTTTCCCCGGATTTATTATCCACGGTTGATAATGAATCCGTCGATAAATTTGAAAAAAGTGACGAAAACTGGATCATTTACGTTATATATTCCTATTTCCTTCTTTTTCAAAAATATTTATTAAGAATTATGTGGAGAGAAGATTGTACTTCATTACTAAAATTATTACTAACCATGAGGAAGAATTAATTGTTTTCGTGGTATAAATGTTCTAACAATCATAATAAATTATCAATTAATTGAATTAATTAATTTTAATCGTTGTAATTTCTCGCTTATGTTATGGTTTCAATTACTATTCACGTTTTTGATTTGCATAATTATTTTTTGTATTGAAAATAATGTTGTACGGGAGTTTGGTAGAAATAAAATGATGATGAAAAAGATTGTATCAATGTTTCGACAATAAGGAAGAGTGCAATTACTGATGATTTCCTAAAATAAAAAGGAATTTCTAGGGTCGAGTCCATTTTTGTCATAATCTTTTCCTCAACTGGAAGGCGCGACGGCTTAAACATTTGAGCCGAGTTGGACCATTCTTGTGATAAGAGTGGATAGATTTTTCGTATAACTTATTCGAATTTCTTACAATCAATGATCAATATTGTAAAAATCTTGTCAAGTAAATTTTCACAACTTTGATCATTGATTGTGCCAAACTCGAATGAGTTTTTCAAGAAACGATCCATTCTCATCACATGAATGGACCATTTTCGCTCAATCTTCAGATTCTTTTGCTCCCAAAAAATCTTTTTTCCTCTTAACCCTAGTCTGATTACCTGACGGGATAATGCGACTAGTCACATTCGCGGGGGAGTGCCGCCGTGTTATTTAGGCTCCAGCGTTGCCGAATCCACTCTACACTTCCCGGGCGCGTTTAGCGAGTTTCCAGCAACGTCGCGCAACAAGCAATTTCATTTAACACGGGGAAAAAATGTTCACCCGTTGGAAATAATTTTTTTTCTCCCAGAATTAAGGATACAATATTGAAAAAAAAAATACTAGAATTTTTCAGATATTTGAATTGACGAATTCAATTTTTCTAAAAATTTTCCGGTCAACCAGCCGATGGCAAGGTGAATAAAACGACGTGTTGCGGCAATTCCCTCGCATGGTGACCCGTCTAGGGTTAATGTGGGTGCAGAAATTGATAACGACATTTTCTTGTCAGCATCGACAAGCGGTTCTTTTTAAAATGTTTTTTTAAAATTATTTACGGTATTATTAAACGGTTATTTTTTTATTTACGCAGTAGAGACCTTAATACGACGTTTATTAGCTTTTGAATGATACTTACAAGGTATACACTTATATATATATAAGTATATACCTTTTTCAATTTATATCAGTAGCGAAGTGGTAAACCTGTTTAAGGGGAGACTACTATGAGTTTTAAAAGTCGTGGGTTATTGAAGTGAGACTTTTTATACGTTGAAGATAGATTATATAGATCTGAAAACGAATAATTATTGCAAAAAAAAATTTTTCAGGGCCTCCAATTTTTGAGCTACGAAGTATTTTTTTTCAAATTTTCGGAAAAATTTTTTCCGTTTTTTTCCGTTTTCCGTGAATTTTACACGAAATCTGAAATTGCATAATTCAATTCAATTCAATTTATTTCCTTGATGTTACAAAAGTATTCTGTTTCACATCTACACAAGCCTCTCACTCTCTATTTCAATCTCTAATCTCGTGTTATTTTCTTGTTTACATACTCACTTATAGTCTACTTCATATATTTATTTCATTTGTTATTAGTTTAATATCACATAAGTCTCGTACATCACATTTGATGCAATTGCATGATTTTTTCCCCTAAAGCGCATTTAATCCCACTCTGAAAATTACTAGTTGAATGTCCATGAAATGTCAATTTTTTCCTAACAGTGTAATGCGTATTTTCATGCTATCGTTCAACAATGAGGTTTCAGCAATGGATGTATAAACGTTCTGTTTGCACAATTGTTCGGTGACTTGCGCAGATGTCAGGTATTTCCAAACTTTGGAGAATATGAACTTCTTCGGAATCATCATTATTCTACGAAGATTGACTGTAGAAACATATTATTCGCATTCAGAACATCAATAAGATAATTTTCGATCTTTGCATTTGCTGCCACTGATTAATCCAACAATTATTCATCTCTTTCATGATTGAACTATCGTAACTAACTCATCAAAAGGAAGAACCCGTTATGAAGAAACATTGTGAAAAATTTAACGGGAAACTATTATAAGTTTTAAAAGTCGTGGGTTATTAGAGTGAGACTTTTCATACGTTGACGATCGATTATATAGATCGGAAAATGAGTAATTAGTACAAAAAATTTTTTTTTACTGTTCATTTGCCCGAAAATGCTTAAAATGCTAAAAACAGTCCAGGGCCTCCAATTTTTGAGCTACAAAATATTTTTTTTTCCAAAATTTTCGGAAAAATGTGTTGAACAACAATTACGAGCCAGTTTTTTGGAATTCGACTCCTACACAGCTGATTCCGTTTTTTTTCATATAACAAAATTCACTGTTTGTGTGAAAAAATACAAAAAAAGCAAATTTAGCTATGGAAGAGGTGAATTTAAAAAAAAATAGCTCGTAATTGTTATTCCACATATTTTTCCGAAAATTTTGAAAAAAAAACATTCGTAGCTCAAAAATTGGAGGCCCTGGACTGTTTTTCGCATTTTAAGCATTTTCGGGCAAACGAGCAATAAAAAAAAAATTTTTTGCACTAATTATTCGTTTTCAGATCTATATAATCGATCTTCAACGTATGAAAAGTCTCACTCCAATAACCCACGACTTTTAAAACTCACAGTAGTCTCCCCTTAAATAAATTACAAATGAAGCAGGTCAAGTTGAATATTTACAGAGAATAATAAAAAATCGTTGAATAGATTCCTCGATTTAAAATACACGTGACTGACTGATTCTGTCAGTCAGTGTGCCAATGAGAAACGTTGTTAATTCCATGGAAAAGTACACTTTATTTTCGGACCACATTGGGGGGAACCTGGGGCTCATCTATTTACAGAATACTGTCTCTAACGTCACTGGACGAGCCAGCGAAGAGATTCATACTCCGATCTATCCCTAATACACAACAATTACTACAGGACACGGAGAGAAAAGTTGGGTAAAAGTTATCGAGAAAATCGTGACAAATTTTACAGTACGAAAGGTAATCGTGCAGCGAAACGTGATTGAATGAAAAAATACCCGTTTGCGGAGGATATTTTACGATTCGTTCGATAAGAAAAAAATCGAGAATAAGCCCCCAGAGGCGAAAATAATCGATAAAATGACGAAGTGGGACTTTTTAGAAAAAAAATTTTTGGATGAATTGCTCTATACTAGGATGTACTGAATCGATCGACACGAAATTTTATACACAAATGTGACTCAATAATACTAATTAGTAGTCAGAATTTCAGATGTTTATTCCAAGTTTTACGCCTATTATGGAACGCCACACAACTCTCAATTGAAAAAATTAGAAAATCGCGAATATCTCGAAAACTTTGTATGGATGGGTATCCATATTTAATTTATCTTGATAGGGGGCGGCAAGACGAGTATTTTGAAGAAAAAATCAAATCAATCGGACACATAGTTTGGGAGATATTGAGCAAAACAGTTTTTCACAAAAAGTTGAATATCTTTTAAACTACTTGTCCAATTTCGCCTACTCATAATTCCATCCTGTAATATCATAAGAGCTACAATCTCACCAAATTTCAACAGCCTATCTGAATTTTTTCGGGAGTTATCGTGCACAGAACGATTTTCTCAAAAAAATGAAAAATATCGATTATTGACAAACTCTTCCTAGTTACATAGCAATATTGTGATTTGATTTGATAGATAGTAT